CTGCTGTCAGCTCGTTGGCTTGGAGGTAGCAGTCGAACCGAGCGAGGTAGGAGTCCCACGATTCAGAGGCTGGCGCAAACGGCGGTAGAGGCACAAGTGAAGCCATGATTCCGATGCCGGCGTGAAGGGCGATGGATGGAACACAGTGCTCTAGCCAGAACAGTCAGCTCTGAATTGGTTCTGCCCAGTGATTTCGCTCAGTGATTTCGCTCTGTGATTCAGCTCAGTGATTCAGCTCAGTTCAGAGGCTGGCCGCATCTGGCTGTGCTCTGATGTCCATCCATCCCATCCTCGTCGCCAGTGTTAGGTCGTGGGTTGACATAGCAGCCGGCACAGCGATTTCTTCAAGTAGCTCTTTATTATGGTAAGCTGGAATACAACTGACTGCAAACAGCTCAGCCGGCCTGTATTTTATAGGCAGCCGGCTGTCAACATTGTAACCACAACAGCCCAGAGTTCCCGCCTAAAATAACTGCCGCGGACCTGAGTGAAAACTATCTACAGACCTGAGTGAAAACTATATACAGTATCCCCCTGTTGGCCCAGGGTGAAACTACACTACATAACAAAAAGAATTCAGCAAGAGCAGGTATTTTGAGTGAAGGTGGTCAAATGATCACAAAAATGCATTAGAAGATAACAAGAGAATTATTAAAGCATACCTGTGAATAACCAACTATATCTCCATTTTCATCCAATACATTAAAATTAATGATTGGACCCTGGACCTCAGGGCTGCTGAAGTCTGTATCACTGTAAAGCTGCACAGCAGGTGCCCCGTTAGGATATGTTAACGTAGAGAGGATTCTATAGGTGTAGTGAGCTAAGGCAAATGTATGTTGTTCTATGTTCTTCATTCCACCTGCAGGGAGGAGGGGGAGAGAGGAGAGAAAAATTCAACAACTTCCAGTTTCATTTTGAGCCATTTCTACAGGGACATAAAAAGGATCTCCTAAAATCAAGTCAATTGTTATTATTATTTAATGTAAGTTTTTAAAAGATGTGTTTATTAAGTTTACATAAACAACATAAATATTAAAAAAATTAAAAAGAAGGTTCAATACATTTTTGCAGACATCATAGTAAAATAGATTCTTTGAAGGGACATTTTGGAAGTAAGACTCACATATCAATAAGAGAACCTGGCCACACAGAAATACATTTTGTTCCAGGATTTTTCTCATGAAAGCTACAGCAGCAGGCACTCACTCTTAGTGTTTCCTGGGCAAATCTAGGAGCTCCAGTGTCATCAACTGATGACTTCACGTGAGGAGGAGTCATCACAGATCTAACACCTGTGACAGAATTTTCACACCATTTTTCATAACTACAGAAGCAATTATTTTCAGTAGTCAGTTTTATATTTTTAGGTTCATCTCATGAATTGTGGGAAATAAATAAAATAAAGAGATTATAAACAACAAACGAAGCATGGACGTCCCTAACAGAGGGTGGTGAACACAGCACATGACATCATGGGCTGTCCTCGGAGTTTGCTAGATGACATCGCGGGAGACCGCTGCCTCAGGAGAGCGAGGGAAATTCTTAGGGACGACTCACGCCCTGGCCAGCACCTCTTTAATCTCCTACAGGCAGGAGATACAGGTTAAAGAACAGCTTTTATCCGTGGGCTGTTGGGCTGCTTAATGGAAAAAAATAGTAGTGTAATTGACTTCTGACAAGCACAAGACTGAGTGTATGGGGGGGAGGGGGGCTCATTTAATTTCACTGCATACAGGTGGTGTAGTGACAATAAAGGTTTATTATTTATTTATTTAATTAATTTATGGTACATCATTTACTGAAAGTTTTCTGGGACCTAATGTTTTGGTTTTTTTCAACACCTGTCACACATCTAATTTATTCTTGACATGGGTAAACTAATATTAAAATGGGTCAGATATGCATTGAAATCACACATCTACTCTAATTAATGGTAGGAACATTTCATTTCCACCCGGTTCTAATTGGGTGTGCAATTCCTTTTTGTTCTCTTTCTCTGCCTCCTCAGCCAAAGCATAATCCTCTCATTCAGGATGCCATGCTTAGACCACATGTGATATGTTTTCAGTATTTATCTTAATGAACAGATGGCTTTTGGAAATTCCCCATCTTATTTTGTTGAATAGCTAATTTCTACTTCTTCTTTCAGCTCAATGATGTTAGCAACTTGTATTTTGAGAGTCAATTGTAAAGAACCTTATATGGAAAAGCCATTACTGGTAGTCCTTGCTCAACTAATAGTATTTACATATAGAATTTGTGGGGGAGATTACACAAAGTGGTAATGGGATCTAGCTGAAGTGAAGCTGATCTACTAGATTTTAGATGTAGTAATCTGATCCAAAAAGACGAGCAAACCAATGACGAATCAAAGTACCTAGGGGAAATCACACCTCCACCCATTTAACAAAAAGACTGGCAATAGCAGTTCCAGAGCCGAAGGAGAAAGAGGGCTTTCAAACCATGGAGCTCAGCAACGTCAAATATGCACAAAGCAGACATCTTCTTTCAGCATTTATGTTGCTGAAGGAAGTCCACACTCACGCTTATGCACTTTCTATTGGTCACTACTGCATTCTGTTCTCCAAATCAAATGCATATTCCCTGCACTCTCCCCATGAGTAAAATATAATTTAGGGTTGTGAAATAATTGCTCCCACAACTGTAAAGCCAGGAAGACGCTCTTGAAAGCTGTATGCCAAAAGCAGCTTTATTTTATTCCTGGTTTTTGACAACATTTCCTGTTTGTATAAAACTGATTTATCATCCCAGGGCATCACAGGAGGAAAACATTTTTCTGTAAATCTGATTTCAAAACATCTCATTTTTTTGTAAATAAGCTTATGTATTGCTTTGAGATGTTTCCCAGGGATTCACAAACAGAATGAAATAAATAGAATATCAGTGACTTTAATTAGGGTTTTTTTTGGGGGGGGGACCTTGTATCTTCCAGTTACTGTTGATAGCAAAAGCAATGAAAACTTCTAAATTTAACCTTTTTAATAAATACTTAGTAATGCATATAAAATATCACATAACCAATATTTGCCACTATTCCAAAAACTGTATTATTAATGTATCACTTCTAAAAGATATGAAAAAGTCAGCTCCTTGATGTTTACTCATACACACACATCCCGCACTTATGACATTTGATTTAAAACTGCTGAGAACTACAGTCTGTCAGTACAGTCACCTGGCAAAAGAACTGATAACCTGAGATTCACAGTAAGATTCCCCTCCTTCAAAATCCAACTTGTTATTCAAAGAGCAGTGCTAGATGAAAAGCAAAAGGTTCAGGATTTAAGCTCAGTTATATTAAGCCTCTTATGCAATTCACTTCAAAGAGTCATTGGGATTTTGGCACAAAATGGTTGATTAGGTCAACTTGAAAAATGAAAGATGCTTTCTAAAAACTCCAAACTACCAATCCTAGCAGTAGAGGTGGAAGGATATAAAATTCATTCTTAGAATTTGTGACAGAAAGCAGCCTCACTTCTAGAGTTATCAAAGTAGATTACTTGCTTCTGGCTTCCTTTTACTTTCTCAGGTTTTAAAAAAACATTTTTTTGCCAGTTATTTTTATTGATTTTCCAAATTATTACAAATCAAACCAAATTAATACAATTTCCAAAACCAGTTTCCCGCTCTCATTACAGAATATGTCCAAGATATACCCCGACTGCTGCGTCAATTCTCATTTAGTCTCTAGTTGACATCACTTTGCAATTACCATAATATTTTGAACAGCTGCCCCTCTACAACCCTGCATACTGCAAATTACTCATATAAACCTTGATTCTGGTAGGTAGCCGTGTTGGTCTGACGCAGTAGAAATATATAAAAAAATAAAAAAGTAGCACCTTAGAGACCAACTAAGTTTGTTCTTGGTATAAGCTTTCATGTTTAAGCTTTCGTGCACACCAAGAACTTATAGAGCTTATACCAAGAACAAACTTAGTTGGTCTCTAAGGTGCTACTGGACTATATCTATCATCTATCTATCATCTATCTATCTATCTATCTATCTATCTATCTATCTATCTATCTATCTATCATCTATCTATCATCTATCTATCTATCTATCATCTATCTATCTATCTATCTATCTATCTATCTATCTAATAAACCTTAGTATTTATAATCAATAACAGCATGTGTAGTATTTTATTAAGTTCTTATTTCCTGATTCCAGTGTTGCATTCTTCTCACTTTGTTGTTCAGATCATAAATCTTTCCCTGGCTGGGTGTTTTGTTGCAGTTTCTGCTTCCTCTGTCATGCTCATATTTCTAAGATCCCATCCCATCCTGATGATAACACAGTCACACAGAGCAGATTCAAACTGCAGCCTAAACAATTTACAGAGCGAACTTTCCAAACCCATCTCAGCCACTGGATTCCACCTTGCAATGCCTTCTTTTCCAGTGCAAACACACCCATCGTAACATAAGTCTTTCTTTAATTCAGCCTCTACGTGGCTTACACAACAAGTCCAGCTGTGGCTTATTCTTTACTGTGCTCTTTTCCCCACAACATCCCATCAAAAGATGGTAATAAATATCACCTAGTTACTCCTTAGTCAAAGGGGGGCAGACGTAGTAAAACCATATTAAATTCATTGTAAACCATACAATGGTTTCCTTCAAGAAGCAAACAACTTCACATGCCTCTTGTCTCATTATGAAGGACAGGGCAGAAAGAAAAAGCCGTATCCAATAAGAAAAAGAAAACATAATGCAATCTGCCCTCTCCTTTTCCATTTGCGGCTGTTGAAACCATTCAAATACCTTGAAAAGTCCTGATTTTTTTGACAGCTAATTTAATCACTGCTTATTTGCATATCTTGTGTAGAGAGTGCCTCATAGTTTAGCCAATTAGTTGATGTAATGAGGACAGTAATGGAGGCTCGTCCTTTGGCAGGGGCTTACTCCCCGTGCCACTCCTGTTCTGTCTTCCAAAGTAGCAGACAAAGAGTCAAGCAGCTCTGCAGGTGCCTTGGCCTTTCTGGTACCTGTGGGAAATTTCAGGAGGAGCCATGCCTCATTCCCTCCGTCCTTGCTGCTTGAACTTCTTCACAGCCCTGGAGGGACTGTGACGAACATCCACCATGAAATGTGGGTGTGGCCAGAAAATCGAGGTTCTAAGAATCTTAGACACTGCCGTGCCCAAAGATGAACTCAAGGACTGTTCAACAGTGCCAATATAAGAGCACTGGCACCTGATCAGAAGGATCTCCCATATATTATGCATCACAATCAAAGACAGGCACTTTTTGCACCCGGGTGTATATTGTGAGGCTTGGAACCATTCTTAATTACAAATCATTACTGTTTACTAGTGCAGAGGAGGCAGAAAATAGTTGTATTGCTGTGCTCACTTCTCACTACTCCTCATATGCAACCTCCTCCCCCAGCAAAAAAGGCATTTAGCCATGAAACACACAGAACAGCAGGACAATCTTCCTGCACAAAGCAGATAGAAACAGAATGCAGAGGAGAAATTACTAATGGAGAAATGAAACTTCCCAGCCATAGCCCAACCCTTGTGTGTGATTTCCTATAGATGGAAATATAACAACATCGTAGAGTGGAAGGGGTGTCTAGCAAGATGGTGACTTTGTGTGCCTTCAGACCACACCCTGTACTGCAATTTTACCAGCTCTTTTTGTCAACTAATTTATGGTTTGATTGTTTTAGTGCCCGATAGATTTTGATAATGTGACTTATATTGCACAACCCTGAGATCTAAAGGTGATGAGGAGGTTATCCTCTGCTTAAGACTGCAGCCTCTGTAGCTGCTTTCTGTAAGTAAGTAAGTAAGTAAATGGGGAAATTTCATGTGACTGAACTTTGTGTGTC